CATAAAAGTTTACATTTTTTGTCATTTGGAAGTACTTTCATGCGAAAAAATATAGAGTTTCAGTGAAAGTACCGGTTAACGACTTAACCTTGGTGAAACCAAGAGGGGAGAACCGAGGGTTTATTGGGCAGGGGCACCGAACAGAAATAAATCTTGCACCTAGACAAGTTATGTCCGGATTGGGATTAAAAGTACCAATCGCTGGATGGGGTTGTGCCTCTGTGTCCGCAATGGCATCTCCGATATAATATTAAGAGCAATAACATACAAGCCAACAAAAAGGAATCACAGAAGGCAATGAAAACCGGAGTGAGGATATTTTTTTGAACAAGCTGTAAACCAACATCGTCAAAAATGCAAAGGGTCTCTCTTGCTGTAGAAAATACACCGAATACCAAATGATACTGATTAAAGTCTGCTTATCCCATTTGCACTTACTGCATAATCCTACAGCTTTGCTTGACTCTGCATTTATACACGTGAAGCTACTTACGAGCTTGTTAATATTCGTCATCGAAATACGTTTCAAATTGTAGCCTACTTTGCTTGAACACATGGCGTCAGTTTTAGAAAATCCGTCGATTTTAAACTCTATCGGCTTTTAAGAATAAGGTGAAATGATCTGTAATTGATTAGCATTTGTTTTTCACTTCCCTCGTCAAAAGTAACAATTATTGTAAATGTCATGAACGTTCTGTTTAAGCCTGTACATAGTTAAACATTTGTGGATTGCCTCGGTTCCTGTAATGACAATAAAAAGAAATCTATTAAGGAAGGATATTAATCTTGTGAAAAACTGAATCGCATGTATTATCAAAATTGGAGCTGATCAAAGACATGTGTGGATTCTTCTACTTTCAATAAGAAATTAAAAATGCATGGTTCCATGTGAACTGTAATAAATGTTTGGATCAAAGTGGATTTAAAAGGAGTGTCATACATATTTCAATAGGAGGAGCCAAATAAACTGCATTTTATTCAGTCCATTGAACAAAAAATGCCCTGGTGGTGATTACATCACCATTTTCTTGCATGCCAAGCTAATATACAAGATTGACAGATTGACAGAAAAAAAATGGGTTGTATAAAACTTGTAAAAAGTTGTAAAAGATGTTGCATGTTATAGTTAAAGTTTCAATATCAAAGACAAGTGTCATTATGCCACTGTTCTATCGTGCACGTGTCTACTGAATGTCCTGAATTTATACAGTCCTGGGGCAAATTTCATGAAAGAATTGGATGTGTAAAGTGGTTAGGATTAAACCAGAGATTAAATGAACTGCATTTTATTTTGAAATAGCAATTGATCACCTCCTCCCATATATATAAGTAGAAAAACGGAGCTGTTTGGCTGTACATAAATTAAACCGAGGTTTGTTAGCTGATTTGAATATTTGAAAAGAGGAAACTTTAAATGTAAACGTGCAAATAGGCCTATGTGTATATATAAAAACGAGTTCAACTGAAGTAAGAATTAATTCATCTACTTGGTTTTTATTTTGCATTTTATTTCTTTCATGACTATAATGGTTTTAGAGCAAACTTTTAATGTAATTTGTACCTTACAGTATCATATCATCAATCATATTCTCATATTAAAATCATTTTGTCCAGGAGTGTTTCTGTATTCTGCATAATAATATGGGAAGATTTCAGATTTTTTTAAGCCCATTTTCACTTCTGTTAAATAATTTCACAGTTTAAGTTTTGTTGTAATATGTCTGACTATTCATGTCATAAGAATGCAGTTAAAGACTAGATTTTTTCGTTCTCTACCTGAAGGATTGCTGTTATCCTTTGGCTTAATCTTTAAAATTCAATTTGAGATCTAAACCTCAGCGCTTCACCACCGAATGATGAGTAGTGTATTAAAAAGCATAGCAAAACAAGAACAAGAAAACAGTTAATCCTTATTGGATGTCATTACAAGTGTAAATTATTGAGTTTTTTCAATAGACCTCTGTACTGATGACATCACACTTTGATCCAGTTGGCTGTGGGCCCTGGCTATAGGGCCAATAGGAAAGTTCATACATGTATGTATGTATACAAAGCTTGTACTCTACACATACGGAGCAATTTTCTGTACAAAATTATATATATTTTTCTGATTCTTTTATTTCATTATAATTAATTATTTGTCTATAGCACGTTAACTTTGTTGTTAACATTTTACAGAATTAAGCAAGATTTAATCACAGTAGATTGAGGTTGGTATTGTAAAACTTATCAAAGCGAACTATAATTTGTTATGAAAAGGACACACAACAAAAATTTAGAATGATACTTTTGGAATGTTTTGTTGTGACAGTCAAGTTGAACGTTGCGTTCCGCCGTTTCATTTTGGACCCTTTTATTTCCGTGTGGACTATAATCTTATATACACTTAGCACATTTAATTTGAATGTCTTGCTGTATGCATCCGTTTCGTTACTGCTTTGAAATAAACAATGGCCTAGGGGGAATAATTGACGTCTTTATGATATAGCTAACGGGTATCTGTTCCCATTAGATTTATCTTCGTAGTCTCAAATAAACATGTTTTTGATGTATGAGTCGCGGTGGGCACTGTTACCGTGTTAATAACATAAGAACACCGGCCATCCATCTGGGAACGTTTGGTGGACATTAAATGTTTCTGATACTCAAAGGATAAAACCAGTTAAATCTGTTCAAATCCGTTGCCTCGCCTTCTGGGGTATTAAAATANCAAAACAATAATACAGCAATGTACTTTTCTGTGTATTACACGTCAACTATCCTAGCATAGTATAATAAATGTGAAATTACGCTTATCGTGAATAATCCTTTGTGGAATATCCTTATTATTTGATTGATATCGATGAGGAATTTGTCGATGTTGCTCTCTCAGTTGTCATCAAACTGGGGTTGGATTACACTCAAGTTCTCGTAATGCAATTGGTCAAAGGACAAATAGGTCTGAAAGAGAAATAAAAAGATAGCAAAGAAATAGGAGCTTTTTGTTTATACAAATTATGCGTGCGCAACTTGATTGCTATTTTCACTTTTAAGTCCACAGTTTGACAGCTTTTGAAACTTGGAGGGTTCAAGGCTACGAAAATCCTGCTAGTTATCCGCAATGTCTGTCACTTCCAAGTACAGTTTGTTTTGCGGCGATTCAAGACTAATCTCTAAAACGACTGGTGCTATTTCAAAACCGTATTTAAATCTTACATGCTTGATTTTCATAAAAGCCAAATGTTATAGAATATTATTTCATGCGTTATATTAGTATTGCAAGCTTGTTTCTTCCTAAAGATGTGTGCAACATCACGTTCATGTGGAATATATACGGCGTAATTGGTTGCACTCAGACAGTTCAGCTAATGAGTAATGTGTCCAAAAAAATCAATGTCGGAAAAAAAGTTAGGTGTAATTATTTATGTGCATTCATTTTTTACTGTTATACATGTAAACATGTGCGTACATATCTTGCCCTTCCCCCACCCATCAAAACAAAAATAGTGGATCTATAATGCAAAACTGTATTCTGGCTTCATGGCAGAGGGTACTAATGTTGAGAGTACTACATGAATCGATAGTACAAACAACAAGCATGTTAATTTCATTCCTACTGATTGATTGGCTTAGCGCAGCACGTGACTAACTATGCAGGTAATGCTCAGTTTGGCACCCTGATGAAAGCGGATACTCCAAGGTGAAAAATGCCGTCAGTTCCTATTGATTTACTGTGTGCAAAATTATTCTTTTTACTCCAAAGTGTGAGTAATAATGTATGCATAAACTTATAAAATTTAATATGTCATACTTTCAGCTTCATAAATGTAAGCTGGTTGTATAAGAATAAATGCGATTGTGAACACATTGACCACAAACTCCATGGAAAGGGCTCTGTCTTAACTGAAGCCTGAAGAAACTGTTTTCTGTCCACCCTTAACGGCAGCCCTCAAATCACAAGTCGAGTCAGCGTTTCGCAACTGTTGCACTTCTAGGGTTTTAATTTGTCAGAAAAGGTTGCTTTTTCGCAGATCATTCGTTTGTATATCATGTGGAAAGAAGCTTCTGGAATGTGTGCCGATCGTTTAATCATTGTGCATTCATGCATTTTACAAGAATTAGCAAACTTGTTGACTAATTCACAGTACTCAAAAAACTGCCAGCTAGAGTTCGATCATTATTACTGGTACTTTTCTTTATGACGTCTGCTAAGAAGACTTTGAAAGTACAATGAATATGGATTCGAAAATTGACATTTTGATCGGTATGCCGTGACACGATGTAGGAGAATGTTCGAGATTTTCTATGTGAAGGTAAAGCGATATTTGATGGATTTTTCCGTGGAGCGCGGTTTTACGTTTTCGACCTGATCCGATAATAAAGGTATGTTTGATTGCCAAAAGTTGCCAGACCCCAGACTCTATATGCACGAAGTAGGTTGGGTTTGGTAATATGATGGATGGCCGTAGAATAGAGCTGTAGACACTTTATCTACTGAATGAGTCACCGGCTGGAAAATTAGTGAAATGTGTTGCCAGCAGTTATGGTAATTAAAGACGACACCGTTTATACTCCACTGACCTGTAGGTGCCGAACTATTCAGGTCTAAATAATCCCCAAGTGTTTAAAAATGTTTCCCTTTTGAATGTTCCGCTGTTAGCGCTCCGGAAACATTTGGTTTCCTTCTTCATCTCCCTGGTCAGTGATGTGAATAATTTTATTTGTATGCAGTAAAAGCACCTGTCAGCATGTTACCTTTTTTCGATTGTGAAAGCTAGCTTGTGGTGATGTTTTGAATTTTACGGATAACACTAGAGGCGTTTTAGTTCAACAAAATTGAAAATCCCAAGCGAAACAAGTCTGTGTGTGTGTGCCAGATCATCTTGTTGGCTAACAAGATCTTTTCTTGTTTAATTTTCTTTACCTTTACTATAAGGCCCATTTTTAATACTCAAACAATTAGTAAGGAAACAATTAGAAAAGAAGATCTCCTATGTGTACACTTACAATTCTTTTAGCAAGTGTATGCATGCGTAAATGGGCCCATACGTTCAGCATGAATTATTTATGTTGAATGTAGTATGGACCCATATCATGTCAAGAAAATGGCTGTTGAATACTGTGTAATTTTGCCGTCTATTTGCACGAGAAGCTATTAGAGATGAGCGTGTTTCTACTTCAATTATACCCACTTTATTCATATTAGATTATCTTGCAAACCCAACAAGATGGCTGTTAGATTTTGTATACAGGAATGTGATATTTCTGAATCGATGAAAAGCGTTTACCAGAGGCCATTCTTTGCCATTCTGGATATCAAGTATTGGTTAAGCCTGAATTATGAAATGAAACTATTACAGTATTCCACGTCTTGCTTTCTACATTGTTAAAATTTCATCTGGAAAAAGTGAAAGCTGAAACATTTTGGTTTCTTTATATGGTATGTGCGATTAGTGTAGGATAATGTTTCTTATTTGTGTGGTCAAAAATTATTTAATACTAATGGTTAAAATGATGCCACTATATAGTGATCCATTAACTAACATTTTGGTTCCCTATAATAGTATAGATTGTAAATAAAATCAGAAAAAGGCCAGGTAGGATGGTTCAGATTCTATTTTGTGTGCACATATCCCCAGGCAAAGCAAATCAACTGTTTGCAGTTTTCATTTTATGTGGACTTCTTGTCAGTGTATTGCACTTCACAAAAGCTATGTTTTTAAATGCTATACAATTTTTTATTCCTGCATTGCAGTAATTTAATGAGAAACAAACAAACAAACAAACAAACAAACACCCCAACAACTGCAGGTGGGCTTTATGATAGGGCAGAGTTTTTCAGTGTACTTGCATAATTTGAAGGATTTTTAACATTTTTGTGTATAATTTAACAGATTTTACAGCACATGTTAAAACTACGCAGTTGTCTATGATATGTTAGATTTATGGGTCTTTTTCATTTTGCATTCTGCCAAAAAATGTAAACAGGCAACAAATGTAACTCTCAAAAATGGTATTTGAAGATTACATAAAAATTCAACATTTTCAGGTCCCATAAATATTTCGGCCAATGGAGATTTGGTCCTGGATCTGGTCAGAGATTTGTTGAAAGTGGTTGCAAGAAATAATCTCACACCGCATGTATACCGTTCAGTTAGTTTAAAAGGGAAAGCAGGAAGTGTTAGCTTCACTGTCTAGTTTGCTATACAGCGTTCGATGGAGTCAATCAGATCGCACTGCAGACAACAAAATTGTATGTACACGTAGTTGCAGTTTCACTCTTAATTAAATGTACAACGCCTAGGCTTGGTGCCCTCAACTGGGTGAGGAAAGTTTTCGCTGGAACATGGAGGTTTTCATGGCAATTGTTTTGAATCTATTTCAATTTGCATTTTGGACTGGTAAGTTTATGCAATCTCAATGTTAGTTCTCTAGTCATAGGTCTCTGCAAGTCCTTTAAGCCTGTATGGAAGTTTTAGGCCGTTTAAATCAACTGTGTCAAAAGTAGTCCTTTCGTGTATTACACTTTTATTCCTAACCTATTTTGTGAATGAAAAGACTTGTGTCTTACTGAGGGACGTATGTGTGGACATGTAATACACACGATGACAACACCCTTTCAGTTGAATTTTTTTTTCAGAGAATAACAGACTCAAATGCAGTCTGGTATGTTTTTAAGCAGAACAAGAATAGTTTTTGCCAACAATGAAAAGTGCAGTATATTGACACAGCAAAGTACATGAATTCTGAAAATGGGGGCTGGCTATGTTTCTACCGATACAAACACAGGTACGGACGAAATCCACAAGGTTAATTTTTGCCATTCATCAAATTAATATCCTGCCTAAAATTGTTTCTATTAAAGATAGATCAGCACGGAATCCGTTAAATTGTGCATTCAACTTTTGTATAAGGGCTCACTCAGTGCGGTCAACTCTACAGTCGATCAAAGTCCTGAAATATTCTATACATAGCGTTCCGCGTACAACCACCTTTAGCACACAACTGTGCTAAGGGGGGGGGCTTGGGGCATGGGACATAACCCCCCCCCCAAAAAAGGGGGGAAAATCACCGAAGTTGGGTCTTCGTGAAGTCGAACGCCAACTCTGCTTTATTCAAACTATATAAACAAAGCAGTTCTGTAATCTATTTGGTATATTTTTACATCCCATAAACAGGATATGTATTCCAAACAGCAAAAATAGGAAATAATAGCAATACAGTGAAAGGCTTCACAATAGTAGGTATGATATTCGGCATGTATGAGAGAAGATTTTATTGATATTGCGAAACGTCATTAAGGAGTTGTGAAAATAAACATACAAAATATTAAGGAACCACTTTGTCCCTTCCTGCAGAAAAAAAGTGATGTAAATGCGGGAGTGGAGCATGGGTACGGCTCTTTCAAATGTTGAAACTTACACAAACCAAATGCAGGCCACAATATAATGTTGTCTCCGAACCACCCTGAAAATCCTGAACGCTTCCTCAGAAATTTCAGCTCGGTTTGCCGCTGTCTCTCTTACCCAGGTTGTGTTGCCCAAACATCCGGCATCTATATGTTAAAGATAGTCAGTCCGGTAGGCCCAAGGTACTTTGCTTCATTGGGGTCGAACCTGACCATTACCTGCGCCCTGTATGGCCCACAGACTGACCAATTTTACGTCCTGAAGTGGTCCTTCAGTGACAAAACTGGCTCTCGCTGTAATGGGGTGAGGGCCGGCCAGCTGGGCTCCCCGCTTGCCGGCAACACCTGCAACTACCTCGCCGGTGTTGTCGACTTGTCATCGGAGGGCAATTACAGGTGCTACTCTCCCGAGTTTACAGGATTCTCTCCTGTCCCGGACTCCGTGGATGTTTATATTCTCGGTGAGTGTTGAATTTAAACCAAAGACTGCAACTGTAAGAAACCATGAGGAAACCTGAAAAGAATCACGGCGTCCAAATTACTGGGTTGCGCTTGGAATTACTCGACTGATGCACGCTTGACTGTCGACACCATCTGGTTATTTGCCGAGCCTATGGCTCAGACTAGGAATCCAGACTGTGGAGATTTTAGAACCATGCAGGTTAATTTCTGTGAGATAAGCATTAAGCATGTAGGCTTAATACAGTAGGATTTCCTAACAGCGCAACAAACTTTTCTTTGACTTTATCCCAGCTTAGTGCATACAACCAAGAAAAATATATACAGAGTATATGGACCCTGAATGAGAAACGTGTTCTTTGTACCTCATTTCCCGTATAAAATTCACATCCCAGAGCCAAATTGAAAACTACTTCACCACCACTCACTTTTGGTTTTTTGAAGAGATTTGATCACGATCCTGAAACATTGTGTTAAATGCAGAAAAATACAGATGCTTTCTTTCACTACTTTCAATATTGCTCTTTTTTTTCTTTTTTAGAATTGCTCTTGGCCTCAACTGTTGAATTGCGAGATTTTTCGAGTGGGGAATCTTTGGACCTCCATACTGGGCCTACATGCGTCGAGTCTGGCCGAGAGCAGACCTTCGAATGCGCTGTCCGAGACACCAAACCTGGTATCTGGAACCTCACGTGGATTATCGGGAATATCAAGGGGGAGGAAGCAGTTGAGCGTACAGTGCCCGAGACCAACACAGCCCACGAGTCGGTTGATGTGATGAGCATTATCACCCCACAACTCCTCGGTGAAGACGGCGTTTTGATAAATGTGACATGCTGGGCTACCGTCTCTCATCACGTATCCCTTCAAGCCACGGCACAATTCAAGATATGTCCAGGTAAATCATTAATTGGTATGAATTTTAGCCCTCTAGTAAAATGGCTAGGTCTTGCATATGAAACGGATGACTTAGGCCTAATCTGCAAGGTCTTTGAACTATTCAGACTTCTTCTTTATAGAAACATTTGTTTCTAGAGAGGCTACTCCAAACGAAAGACAAGCCCGTGATGATTACGGGCGATTCGTACTAATGAGAGTTTACAACGCGTTGACCAATCACAAGGCGCGAAATCAAACGACCATTTCCAAACGCGCATTGGGTCAACAGATTTTGTGCACTGTGATTTGGTCAATAACTTGACTTGGCAATTAAGATTCACCAAAGTCCAACTCTAGCTCCTCAAGGCTGTTTTAGTTCATTTTCAACCTCAAATATTCTTTTTAAAATATCAATATACGCGCGGGCAGGAGGTATAAAATGATACATATGGGTTAAAATCGTGCATTATACGCATTCTCCCAGCGTTGGTACTTTCTTCCTTAAGTCATAGTAAACATGTAGGATACTCTATACATGTATATCAAGGCCGAAATTCTCACAGAGGTAAACACGAAACAAGGAAATTCCTCTAGCTAAATTCACCTCAAACATAACACCTTGTCTTTCACTCAAATATTTTACCTAGAGAAAAAACCTGACAAACTTTCAGTTTTTCCTCTCCTATTTATAATTCGAGGGAAAAAGCTGAACAAGTATTACTCGTATCAGGAGCGCAGTCCACTTTTGCTCTCAGTTTTTGTCAAACAGAAACTCAGGCAATTTATTTCAACGCCGAACTTTGATGCAATATCTAGCTGATCACTCACTTCAAATTCATGCGAACAAGTACAACAATTTTAACATTTTCGCTTGCCATAATCCCTGATTAGCCTCTTTGAAACACCTGCTCTTTTTCAGACAACAAAACTGGCTCTAGCCTGCTATTTATATTATTTTTCATTGTCAAGGGCTATAAAAAGTACATTCAAACAAACTTCCCCACCGCATCCTATTTCCTTTCTTGCACCTGTTCCTTTGGGTTATTTCGGTAGACTATGCAATAACCTATTGCGTGCGATATGTCAAAAACATGTTTACACCCCAGGCATCTTGGCTTCACAATAAAGCCTATTCATCTTCATTCAGTCCCCCACTTGAAAGGTGAATGAACTTAATGCAGTTAGTTTGACTAGCCTGCAATCTAGCCGAAGTACAGATTCATCATACAACAGTCACATGAATCTAGTGGTTTTTGTGCTGGTTTACAAAACAGAAACAACTAGCATAGCTAGCATGTAGGGGTTCACTACAGTTTCTACTAATAAGGGATACTGTAACAATATGCGTGTTTGCAACCGGTAAGGCTAAAGTCCAATGAATGTATTAGTTGAAAAAAAAAGGCTGGCTGTTTGGTCCAAGGTTAAAATGTATGGATACTTCCTCTTTCAGTACTTCAGTTATTTAACATTTTTAGGTTAATTATTTAGGTTGTTTCATTTTTTTAATGAGAGCAGCTGGGCAATTTACTCGAGGTGGAGCCCTGACACTGTTTTCAAACTGTGATAAAGAAGAAACAGATTTTCCCGCATCAGGTGAACGTATGGCATTTTGATGTCTCTTTGGATTCACAATATTTACAGTATTAGCAATAAAATAAATCCGAACAAATTAATAAATATAAGCAAACAATACGCATGACCCAAATGCAAATGTAGCACCAGTTTACAAAGAGATATATTTAGCTTGGGGGGGGGGGTTCTCGTGAACACATTGGAATAGTTAAATACTTTCTGCGTTCCTAATTTGACGATGTAAACTTTTCACGAAATTGGGGGAAAACAGTGAAAAAAAGTCACCTCAATTCTTTTGTTACGAGGCTCAGGAAGCACATGGGTGTGGCCGTCAGAAAAAAAAAGAGAGGAAATGGAAGGGTCAGAATATTCTAAAGAATTTAGAGAGTCAAGAGCAGCGCTCCGAATGTGGTTCTTAGTACAGCAGTAATTTGTGAATACTGTGGGCGCAGGCAAAAAACAAGACAGATTTGGGAGACGCAGAGACTTTATACAGGAAAAGCCGTGTCATTATTTTGAAACACGAAATGTATTTCAACAGGCAAAATCAAACCAACAAAAATAGCCATGAGAATTTAACCTAAGACCCCGGGCCTCACAGTTTACTTTGTGGCATTCATAAACAACTTCCTTTGAAGATCAGGTTCCTTTGTAAAGCAAATTGTGACCTTAACGAACATTTGGCCTAAAATTTCCAATTTTGTGCTGAGAATCATCTTGCCAGTCTCCAACGCCTCCAATCTCCTCCGACCTAAACCGTACTGAAGCAATGTAGACATGTAAATCAATCATCAGAGATCTAAAAATTCTACCCTTATCCCGATGAACATTCACTACTCACGCTTTGTCAAAGAGGTAACTTAGCTATTCTTTGAAGTAATAAAGTCTCCAATTGTTAAGGTGCAAAGATGGAAAAACGCCCTCAAAATCTAAAAACTAGTTTCAATCAATACAAAAATAGCTCGTCAAAACTCACATAAAAGTCCTAATGTACAACACACCAAATACCACCCAAAACCAAGGAAATTTAATAAGTAATCTCGTCACAAGGACTGTCCTCGTACTGAAGCTAACCCCTCGTGAAACATTGCAGCTTTGCCACTCGGTGAAGAGAATCAGCTTTCGGTGATTCAGCTCAGTTGAAACTCCTTTAACAATTTTCAATCTTGCAGCACAAGTCCCGAACACTACCATGCATCTACAAGATCTGTTCACTGGAGATTATTATGATGTTCATTCTGAGCGGATATGTGTCCAGTCTGGGACAACACGCGTCTTCGAATGCACTGTCCGCCCCGTCATAACAGGCACGTGGAATATCACGTGGATCACCGACGGAACCGTAGTAGACACCAGCTTCGAAGAGACGAATGGAAGCATTGCAGGTGGATTAGTCAACCTCACCGCGAAGTTCACGTTGGAGGTACCAAGGGACGGTGAATTACTTCTCAGGCACCTCACCTGTAAGGCTACGGCGTGTGACGATACTCCTCTCAGCATTAGGATTGAGCTACGTCTGTGCAACGGTAGGAACCGATGGGGCTTATAATTATTCCTTATCAATATTGTATTTGCCTTAATCTGGGAAACATTAGGCCTATTTAAAACATGATACCCTTACTCATTTTGAAAGGACTACATTGTTCAAATACGATAATTTAAAAGGAGTGTTCACTTTAAAAAGAGTGGACACGACTCTCACAATTTTAAACCAGTGATTTAATGTCAGAAACGAATGCAGGAGACACTCGGCGCAAGAAAAAAAGAGATTTAGTCTCTTAGGACTTTGGACATGAGCACCGGATTATTGTTTTGTCTGATTTTTGAAGAATAAACAAACCTTTTCAAAGAGAAGTGTTAATGTCAATCTTTTGAAGGCAAATTTTCCAATCCGTCGATTGACCTGATGGATCTCACGACTAGGGATCTGATTGAATCCAACTCTTCGCTAACATGCACCCAGCAGGGAACAAGACGGTCTTTCCTATGTACTGTTAGGGATGTCGAACCTGGTGCCTGGAATGTGACCTGGATCGTCGATGGAACCGAAATTGTTGAAACAAACTCGACCTTATTACCATTGAGGACAAGTGGACTTGTCATCATGAGCAGCACGGTTGACATCGCTACGCCTCAAAACGATGAAGCAACTCTGAGCCTTGCTTGCTACGCTACCAGTTTGATGAAAGAGTCTCTTATCATCGCAGTGTTGCTCCAAGCCTGTCCAAGTAAGAGAAAAATGCATCTTCTAACATCAAGACAGTGTTGATCATCTGCATTTCTTAATTCTCTTCCCTTCTTCATGTCCTCGTCACAGGCGAAGTTATAAGAGGTACAATGGACCTGGTGGATTTGTCGACCGGAATTGAGGTTGGCGGCAACTTGCAACCAGACTGTATCCAGGCAGGCACGGAGAGAACTTTCGAATGCACAGTCCGAAGCGCCAAACCGGGTATCTGGAACCTCACGTGGCTGCTGGAAGGTTCAAGGAAGGAGATCCCTCCTACTGAGGTGACACCCAGCAAGGGAGAGCTGGTAAACATCAGCAGCAGGTTTCCAATTACCGGTTGGTGGGAGGAGATCCACGAGAAGAAGCTTACATGCATAGCTACGGGTCTCAACATTAAGACTGGGCCACTCAACGTCACTGTGACACTCCAGTCTTGCTCAGGTAAGAAACTGATATGGTTGGCTGAACCTTTTTCTTTTCATCATCTCAATTATCTTTGGCTAACTGTATGTCATCGTAGGAGTGGTTGTCGAGCTGGTGGATCTGTGGACGGGTAAGCCAGTGCATGATAGCTCTGATCCAGTCTGTGTTAAAGTGGGCACGGAACAAACTTTTGAGTGCAGAGTACGGCCTGTCTCCCGAGACGATAGGAAAATCGTGTGGATTCTGGACGACTCCAAAGTGGAGAACCGCACAGTAGTGGAGACGCCCATGGATAAGGGGTTGTTTCAACTAGCCAGCCGCTTCACGGTGCTCCACAGAGAAGATTCGGCACTTCCAAAAAGTCTAGCCTGTGAGGTGATGGGTCCAGATAAAAAGACCATCCACGTGGATGTTCAGCTATATTGCTCTGGTAAGAGATCGTGTGTATGATCTATCCTATGTCAATATGATTAAGGAAGGGCCTTAATTGATTTGCGCTTTTTTTGTTTTACTCGAAAAGCTGTTTATAGACTTCATATTTATTAAGTTGACCTTACCATGCTAAGAACCACATTACATCTCAAAAAGAGTGAAGGATCGACTTTTAGATGTGCTGATGGTTGGTTTGGGATTTAGGTGGTTTCGAAATATTTTTTCTTCGATAAACAGGCGAGCCGCTTGCAAACAGCAGTACAACAATCCTTGTAGTTGTCATTGCAGTCGTAGGAGCAGTGCTGCTCATTTGTGTTGTGGCTTTTGTCGTATTTGCCGCCATGACCGTCAGGAGGAGCCGAAAGATGCAGATGACACCTGGTACAGAGGTTAGCCAGCATGACAAGGAGTCTGCCGAAATGGCATGTTGAGTCGGTAGTTGACCGTATAAAGACTGGAAAAAGAATATCAAAATGAGCCAATGAACAAATATACACATGATGAGTGAGTTATTGTATGGGTGAGTTGAATGGATGGGTTCTAATTAAGAAGAGGAATAACTACGACGAGGATACTATCTGTAACTGATAATTTTAAATATTGGCCAAGTGTCTTCAAATTACATTTTAAGATATTTTTTTAAACAGTTACTGTACAATTGTAAATCACCTGAGCTTATTAGTATCAAATTCTTTCAATTTCAGGAAGTTGTGGAACACAACCCCGAGCCGGAGGCCGTAACAGTGTCTGAGGATATTATCAATTACGAGAATACCATAACAGCATTTCCCCCCTCAAAGGGTAAAGACACTGGTCTCCCGTGTTGGGCCGAGAGATGGGAGATTCAGTGGAGCGATCTCACCGTGGAAACACGAGTGCTTGGCAGTGGCAACTTTGGCGAAGTCCGAGCTGGCAGTGTGAGAATCGATGGCGAGGTATCCAGGGCGGCGATAAAAATGTTGAAAGGTACTAGGCATTTCACCTATTTTTCCCTTCTCATTATGTCGTTGAAGTAAACTCCGTTTGGACGGGAGTTTGTCGGCTTGTGCTTCAAGCAGAATTCAAAGGAAGTCTCTTGACTTCTTGTACTTTTGTATTGGTGTCTTTCACCCCGACATTTGGATTTTCTACAAATAGACAGCTTTTGGTCAAAGGCAGTGCCATTTTCTTCACATTTTTGTAAAACTCAGCTATGCATGTCATCTCCTCAGTACGTATGGGTTTTATTTAACCGTTTTACAAATTGAATTACTAGGAACTTGTTCTGTCTGTTTAGGGCAAGTGTCTCGTGTCGACAGGGAAGATTTTATGGACGAGCTGTGGACCATGACCTCTATCGGCTACCATCCCAATATCGTGATGTTGCTTGGAGCATGCGAACATCAAGGTAACTTGAATGACCTCCCCCCCCCCCCACACACAGGCCTATACCCACACACCCTTGTTGAAATGGAATGGTTAGAGATTATAAGATTGATTTATCGCAGTGCAGGTCCAAGATCCCAAATAACCTGCATTTCGTCTAGCAGCGTTGCCTCGTTGCCCAGGCTTTTGGGCACAAATCTGCAATGCTTTTGGTCTGTTCTATGCACTAGATGTGTTGTACGTTGCCTTGGAGTATCTTCCACACGGTGATCTTCGTAGCTACCTGCGGACGGCCCGGTCACAGTCAGACTCAGATGAAGATGCCTTGTCGTCTGACCAACTCTTGAAGTTTGCCTTGGATGTTGCCTGTGGCATGGACCACCTTTCACTGGCAGGGGTACGTGTGGGGGGAGCAATTGTAAACCGCACAAGCTTTGTTAAAAATACTCGTGTCGTTCCTTGTAAACAGGGGCTAGTTAGTGAAACCTGGCTTGCTTCATTTGTGATGTAGTTGATTTAATCTTAATTAGCCTAACGAGCTGAACTGATAACTCTGCAGGTCATCCACCGAGATTTGGCTGCCAGGAACATTCTTCTGGGAGACGGACTGATCGCCAAGGTTTCTGACTTTGGACTGTCAAGAGGGGAGGATATTTACGTTCAAACATCCAGGGTATTGATTGGAATCTTCAAACTTATCCATTTTGGTTTTCATCAAGGGTTATTTCTGTTTTAGTTTTCATGGAAAAGAACTGTCAGTGTTCTTGGAGAATAAAAAAGATACTAACATTTATTTGTTATCATTGTAGGCTATGGTGCTCATATCTGTTCTTTCTTTGCACTGATTGAGGTTTATGCCCCTGTCGGTGACTATTTAAAATATGACAATACGACTTTTATGGCTAATATGCACCTGATGTAGCCTCTGAATATTTGATTGATTGATTATCATTGTTAAACATGCTGTATAAAATATGCCATGTAGTAAAACTCCAGTTGTTTTGATTGCTTACTTTGAAATATACACTGACACTTTACAGATTCACCATTACATACAAAAAGTGCACGAGTAAAATCACAATAAAGATCATACAATTATTTAATTCTTCTGAACAATAACAAACTTTAAATGTTTACAAGTTCCAGTAAGACGTGTCCCTGTTGTCTATCTAAGGGTGCATAAAACTAAGATGAATCTACATGAAGCAAAAACGAAAACGCGTGCACATAATTGGCAAATGTAGATTCCTTTCTGTTAACAGAGACGAGTACCACTTCGCTGGCTGGCAATCGAGTCGGTGAGGGATCACCTCTATACTACACAGAGTGATGTGTAAGTTACTTGAATCTATGATACGTGCACAAATAGCCTGGGTCTATATAAAGACTCTGTGGTGGCCGATAAAGGTCGCAATGCGTGCCTCAGCCTATTTTCAACTAGAAACTAGAGACCATTAATTTGTCGCTACACTAGTTTTCTTTATAACCCAAATGATCATTTTAATTTTTTTATTTCTCTGGCACATACAATGTAATAGTTGAGATTTGTAATGTTCAAGCTCTACTCTTTCAAAATATCAAAAAGGTTTGTTTGACTACATAAAATTGATTTCTTTCCTTCTGTTTTCCGTCAGGTGGTCTTTTGGAATTCTCCTCTGGGAAATCGCCACTTTTGGTAAGCATTGTCCATGTGCCTGGAGTGTATACATCTGCCCTCCAGCTTACTGGTGTACAAACTACTACTGTTTGACATATTGGTCAGTCTTGAACCAATTTGATGGTAAATGCCGTGTCCTATAGGAGGGATGTAGATTGGGAAGACCGCAAAGACCGTGGAAATTACCGTACAATATATAGGTACATTAGTAATTTCGACCTCAGCAAGGTAAAGTTCTTCCAGCTTTTATTTCCTATTGTTTTTTTAGGTGGAACTCCTTACCCATCCATTCAGAATGAATTACTCACAGCGACGTTGAAAAGAGGCTACCGCATGCCAAAGCCAGATAATTGTCACGACGAAATGTAAGACAAAATAATCAGCTTTCAAAAAAGCTATACCTCTCTAAGACACTAATCGTGTGAGCGTGCCTTAGAGCACGTAGGTACTAAAGAAAAATTCCTACAACAGGACAACCATTACGAACATGGATTATGCCACTGCTATGATGAGTAGTTTTACAGACTAAAATTTGTGATTTTGTTTGTAGTTATGGACTGATGCGCAATTGCTGGGAGGAGAATCCCAATGACAGACCGACCTTCAATGAGCTGGTTTCTATTCTGAGTGACATGTCTGACAATACTATCAAACACGTGAGTAATCAAACACTGTAGAACCACATAATTTGGTGGCTTGGATCCCAAGCAATGTTTGGTTTTTAAACAAAAACCAAATCCTCCTCACGGAGTTGTAAATTTGTTTTAATCTGTTTGTGTTCTTCAGACATACATGGCACCCATCCGAACCGAGTACCAGAATATGAGCATCATTCGACCAGAGCTCGATGAAAACTGAGGGATCTAAAGATCTCAAGTGAATCTCGGTTTGAAGTCACTTAAATTATGCTTAGTATAAATCATCGCTTTGGAGTTCAGCTTTTATGGTACCTTGTCCCGAGACAACGAGTGCCGAAGGGGTCTCAATGATAAGTTTTCCTGGGTGAGGTCACAAGGCCCGTGTTTTGTCGGTACTTCAAGGGTCAACACTCATGTTAGCAGATGTTCATTAGTTCTGGTACTCATCTTCTGTCAACCTCCCACAGGCCAGTCAACCTCCCACAGGCCAGTCAACCTCCCACAGGCCAGTCAACCTCCCACAGGCCAGTCAACCTCCCACAGGCCAGTCAACCTCCCACAGGCCAGTCAACCTCCCACAGGCCAGTCTTCCATTCTGTTTTCTGGATGAACTCTGCTGCACGTGATTCAGTGTAAATTTATGTAAATAATTATAGCAATATCCAGCGACAGAGCGTAATGGAAACTGTCTCAACTGACTAAGGAAAGTATACTTATTGAAAGCGGTTGTAGAAATAATTTGTATACGCAATATAAGCTTTCATTTGCTGCGAACTTTATCATGTGCTAACATAACCTGATGCTAACATGTAATAGAAGCTACCGCTACGACCGTTTATATCAGAGAGCAGGACACAGGGTGACTTTTTTCCGTGTTAGTTATTCTTTTTATTGTATATGGAGCTTTTGTGGTGATTACTATTTCCTATACTGATGGGGCGGGTTGTAAAAGGATGCTTAGTATCTGTCATAGAAGGTAAGCAGGGTTTTTTTCACTGGCTCCCCTACATCCATAAACTCGAAAACAGGACAAAGGGTAAAGAACGCTATATTCAACGTAGAATGAATCACACAATATAGGCCACTTTCTCTGTGGGCATAAATTGTATACGTTCACACGACATTAAAACGGGGGAAAAGGAGCACTTCAGAATAAGAACGAGGATAAATGATGCTTGACACCCTTCCCTGAAGTTATGCTACGTCACTGAAAATTGTACACACCGTTGGATAACACTTGTGTAAATAGACATTAAGTTAACGGCAAGATAATACAATCAACATCGTTAAAAATGTATTACATTTTACACATTCAAACTCGACAAGGCAGAACCGAAAATTCAAATTGCCAAATGAAAGAAGACCAAAAAGCAGGCTATGTAGGCTATCACGTCTAATAGGCTAAATCAAGGACCTACAGAAATCAAACAGAACATTGGGATTCAACAGAAAATTACCAGAATGCTAACAGAAATGTGAAATAAAAGAGTATAAATCCATGCACGATATTAGTATATTAGCACGATAATGGACAACTTCGCCCATGTTACCCGCCTGGTGTGGGCTGTCTTTTGTTTTCCGAAGGCTTCGTTCACACAAGCTGGCGTACACAACCTTAAGTTAACTGTGTGGACAACCTTTCCTTCGGTTCACAGGTTTATACGTAAGACTGAGACACTAACCAATGCACTGTTTTTAATCTGTTTAAATGAATTCACATTAAAGCAGGCGAAGTTTTTAAACTTAACCATTAGACTGCATGCATGCATCGAGTGATGTGTCAGTAAATCCCCTGATAGGCCTACACATACAATCCCTGATGTAGGCCTACGTGTACTGCACTTTTATTGATACTGCACGGCCTAGGTGTAAGTTACAGCTCTGTAGTTAAGCTCTATGCCCATAGAGCCATGAGCTGCTTCGTGACAAACCATCCGATTAAAGTATTTCATGTATTACAGGGCGCAAATTCATGAAACGCACGCGTAGGCTCCTTGCACTTTCACTCCACATCAAGTTGACCGAAAATATGTCCTTGGTCCTACCAACAATTGTTTCAACCTTCTCATTCCATCAAACCCTCAACCCAAACCTTTGTCACCGTATTGTTACTGTGTTACCATCTTATACCTGGCCCCGAGCTTTCAGACTTAGCTTATTAAGCCATTTATGAGTTAAATTTGAATAAAATCTGGTATACCGAGTTCCTGAATGGTATTTTTTCAAAACTTTCTATTGTCTTTGGCTTTGTAAAGCCAGATCGATACTTTTGCGGCTGTTCAAAAATCAACTCTCACGAGTTTTTCCGTGTGTTCGTGTAAAATCCTGACGAGGAGGTGGTGTGTAATCCTGTTCCGAGACCGGTGTTCTTGGGGCGTCAAGAACGGACTGAACTCGACCTCTCCTACCGTGTATTGACCGCGTATGCCTGAAATCGATTCGTTCTGAGCAGAGACGTCGAAAAGCTTTAGGAAACAGACTGGACCCAACTTTTTCCATTTTCGCTGGATGAAAAAAAGTGCTGATTATTTTTCGATCATCAGGTCGATAGAGGGGGCTATTGAATTTTTTGACAAATTTTTACATTTCCTTAGAGGGCGTCATACTCAAAAGTGCACCTCGTTTAATGGAATTATGGGGGCGCTGTTGCATATAAATTGACGTTGGCAACTTCTGGCCCAAAGAGGGCGCTATATATATTTTATTTTGTTCTATAGAGGGCGCCACTCATTTCGCCAACAGAGGGCGGTAAATATTGATTCAACAGAGGGCGCTATATTTATTTTCAATAGAGGGCACTATTGGTACATGGTAAACGTTGCGGCGGCATGTGCAAAATGCAAATGGAAAACTAGGACACGACAGACTTCAAAAATAAGGTCATGAAGTTTTGAAATATTGGTAGCATAAAGGTAGGCTGCAGTGTATTCCCCCTTATTGGAAATCTATATTATAAAGGTTATTTACGGGATCCCCCAAATACATTTTGTTCATGAAAGGTTTGCATAATTGATTGTCTTGTACACGTGAGATGAGGTTTCAGTTTCCTTGGACATGTTGGACAGGCATGACGGGTTGGTAGTACTTGTACATATGCGATGACGAGTGGTAGGCCCAGAATGCCCTGCCAAATCTGCGTCCTTGCTCAAACATAATATAGTAATAGTATAGTGAACATGGTGAACTATTTCCATCGGTGAACATTCCTCATGTATGTAGCCTACATACAGTGTACATGTATGTACGACTTGGTGTGACTTGCTGCCATATTTGTTTACATGAATTGTAACGCTATCCATCAGTCATGTCAGTCTCTTTTATAAAATCTAGCCTTTGATTTATGATTCACACTTCTTGACTGCACTGCACCTCTGACACTTATTCTGCTTTTTAAATCAGATTTTTCCTTTGAGAGTAACCGTGAGGTACATGTACCTATTTTCATGTACATTTTAATTAGCTCTAGACAGTGAAAGTTAACGGTGGGTTTTAGACTGTACAAGTATGCCTAGGACACACGTAGGACATAGAGCCTATTTTGAAAAATCTGAGATGTTACTCAACAATTGTCCAAATTCTTCCCAGCGATCACACCAATGCATAAGCCACTGTTGATTCCATGTATCGGTTAGACTATTTTCAGACGTGGGAGTGTTCAACCTGCCATAGACAGCCGTAGCGCAGTGCGTGTCACCTGCTTTGCTGGTATCAATCCAGTCACACCGACATGACAAGAGTCTATATTGTATGCATGTACCTGTAGGTCACTCATGCAATAAAAATAGAATTTCCCCCAAAATAGTTGAACCAACTGATCAAGTGTTTCCTAAGTAAATACCTCACATTTTTCACTGCGTAGTACTCAAAATATTAAGTCACTGCTGGAAAAAATGTTCAGCATTACCATATGAAATGCTTTCCTTCATGTACATGTTTATCTTGACTGGCATTGAGGATATCAAGTCGTCCTGCCATTGCAAAAATTATAGCAATTTTTTTTAATATCTTAACTAAAAGGACATAGTCTGGAATTATAACAGTCTTTATAGAGGGCTTGCGAGTGACGTCACATTAGAGGACATTTCCTTCTTCCTCTAAGATCAGCTCAAGTAAACCTTTTGAGCATTCATTGGCGTTAAATCTAAATACCAAAACATGTCGTCTGGAAGGGTGCTCTACACCGGCCCTCTATAGGCCAAGCAGTTTGCATTACACTATAGTAAGGTCCCCTAACATGGCACACTTGACTTCCACTTGACTTTCTTTATACAGTGTTGCCAGACCTCTTGTTGGGAAAAAATTCAAATTCATGCAAAACATCGCAAAAAATCCTATACACATGTAATTTAAGAAGTTCTGTAAAGTTGATTAATTCTAATAAATTATTTTTACCTGAATTGACATTCCTAAAGTAAACAAAAATTTTTTAGGTTATTATTTTTACATTTTGGGCTACATTTTTAAAAGTCCCTTTTGCACGTCAGAGAAAAACATCTTGAAAGCTTGAGCCAAAATAAACATTTCAATAGAACTTTGTAATGGGTAAGATCAGAATAGTGGGAATTTGATGAAATTTCACCTAGGAAATTTGAGGTAAAAATATTGCTCCTGCAAGGCATTTGAGGCAACAAAATCCAACTGCGCCCACGTTGTGGGCCGTGCATTAAGTGAAGGATGTTGTGTGACAACAGTAAAAGCTGAAGGGATGCATTGTTGGTATTTTAATTGTAGGAGGAAGTCAGAGTAAGGCAAAACGATGGAGCAAGGAGTGGCCCGTATTTTGGCAGCATCATCGGAGAGAGAAGAACTTGAGTAAGTTCCTCCCCAGCATGAGGTTATTCAAAGACTAGCTGGGTAAGTCCAGAATTTAGGGGTCCAAAAGTGGGACATTTATGTATTCCTGTTACATCTGACCTTTGTTGTTGCACATGGAAATATCACCAGAATTGATTTTTCAAACCATTAGTATTTGTTTGGCAGGCAATTTGTGCTTATTCATCACTCTTGGAAATTAAAAAAGTATTCTGAGCTTATAAAAATCATATGTCAGATGTCACAGGGACATGAAAAAAAATGGGTCCCTGATTCCTGGAATTACGCAGCTGGATTGAGAACCTAAACTGTGGTCCTGCAATTTTACCAATCTATTCCTGGTTTGTTATCCTACTTAATGCCAGTCTTCCCAGATCTTTCATAATCCACCAGGAGATCTGTGAAAGAAAGGGCAGGATTAAGGAAGCTAGAGCCCAGCCCAGGCACTTAAATCACGAGGGACTTGATGCCTCTGTAGTGTTTTGGAGAATATACATGTACCATGTTTATTGATGTTTGATACCCTCTACATGTACATGTAGGCCACGTGAATCAGTCTGAAGTACACCATGTCTGGGAACTAGTCTTGTGTTTATTGATTGTATTGCACTCAAATAGTTGTGACTCCAACTGACTACTTGTACATGTAAATGCCTGACTAGACTCGACTTTTGTACTTATGATGACTGGACTTGACCCGAGTAATTATGTTTAACTGAAAGCTAACTTGAGTCACAGTGTTGTCAGCACTGGCCTCGAGCTACAACATTTTGTGACTCATTACAACTCTGGCTGAAGTTGCATGTAACTCGTAGACACAATGAAGTCATTTGTTTCTTGTATCTCCATTGTATTCCAACAGTGTAATAAGAGAAAACCCACTTCCAGTGAGCACCCAAGAGACTGTGACTCAGATGTGACGAGGAACAAGAACAGTGGATGGAGAAAACCGCAGGTAGATAAATTGTTACATTTCAATCATGTTTGCCATCTGTTTAGAAATGAATTTTGCCCCATGCATTTGGCCATGGTATTTGCCAATGTCAAAAAGCTCTGACGTGCTCTTAGTAAAGGCAGTGGATATACAGCCATTACCGGCAAATTCGAGTAAATTGTATTTTGCCAGCTACAAGTAGACAGCGCCCTCTTTGCACAAGTAAGCCTGAGTGTAATGGTGATTAAAGTCACTCTGTATTCCCAGTTCATTCAGTGGTCTAGTGGATAGCGTGGACATCTTGAGATCACTTGATACGCTCTCAGCTGGGTTCGATCCACAGCTGTCATCTTTTTTTTCCCCAGACTACTAAGAATTTTCTACTTTTGTCAGTGTAAATTGACTTCACTATTTAATTACAGAGTAGTACATCCTCCTTCTGATTTGTGGCTCTGGAGGATTTTCAATTGTAAAAATGTCTGGTTCACACCTTGTGAATGCAAAGTCACAATGACTATATTGGCACAGACCCAGACTAAAGATTCATTGGGGTAAGAATTTCTTAGTCCAAAAACACAGTTTACTGCATACGTTTCTGGTAAAATGTCGTTTATTTGCCAACAATAGCTGAATATCCACAGCATTTTATGAAAGAGCCCATGCACTTGAAGAAATCCCAAATCACATAGCTGCCAATTTGTGATGTACATGGGAACAGAAAGCAGTCATTTGGCACCATTTTCTGTTCATATATTTCTAGACCAATTTGAGTTAGTCCTTGACCTTCATGGTTAGCCTCTCCTCGATGGGAATTTCTTTCCGAAAGCCGACTCCAAGAATTCCAGTCTCGCTTGGCCACGAAGGCCACCTGCCAAACTGCAAATTCTCAGTTTGTGGCCCTGCATGCTCTGCACGCTTTGAATTACACGGTGAAAAGGCTGATTGTTTGGTGGCATGTGGCTCTACTCAAGCTTCCACATTCCCGTTGCCTCTTTTCAAAGTGGGGACTATTGTGAAGCTGGTGATTATGATGCAAATTCGGTCTTTTCATTTCTGGGCTACACACAAAGGCCAATTACCATATACACAAGAGCCAGGGTCTGCCTTCTTTCGCCATGTTCGCTCGAGCTTGGGCCAAGAATAATAGCTGAAAAGTGGGCTGAGAATCTCAATTTTTACGGCATTGCTTAACGCGTCCCGGCGTGAAGGGGTTAAATAGACCTTGTCCTTGACCTTGAGATCACTTTTGTCCAAATTTACTGGATTAGGCTGAGATAACTACATTAGCCTGTACGAAATGACAGCAGCTGCTCACTTGTGGCTTACCTATTGTGTTACTTCAGCCATACCTTTGGGGCGAAGTCATAAAACCCACAACTCTTTTGGAGCATTTTTGAGGAGTCAGACTGGCATAAATATAAACGTAACTGCTACCATCTTTTACTGTTTGAATTTTAACCAGTTGTTCAAGGGGATAGCAGCGTGGTTGGTCCCCTGCCTGTGGGCTCATCTTCTGGCATCACTGCCCTGATAGAGTAAGGCGATAGCAGCGTGGTTGGTCCCCTGCCTGTGGGCTCATCTTCTGGCATCACCGCCCTGACACAGTAAGTCATCTCTCTTGTTTCGTTCCTCACTTAATTACAAGATTAGTGATCATGAGTTTGGTTCTCACAACCATCTGCCTTACCCATCAGTCCCTGTACCAATCAGAACCCACCCAGCCTATTACTCTCTGCACTGCGGAGTGCTGTATGCGTTCCTGGTTTTAGCAGTGACTATATCTGAAACTAACGGGTGCAAGGGTGAATCTAGGGTCGTGGGGGCTTTGTTCCCTCTCCCAAAAAAGAGCGAAGTACAGTTACATCATTGTGAACTTTCAGGAATTGGAGGGAATTTGGTGGTCTTAATTTCAATTCCTACCCTTCCAAAAGTGTGTTGAAAGCCCCAAAATGTGTTGACGAACCTAAAAGTTTCAAATAAGTGCTCCATTCTCCCCCAAAATAGTTCTGGATACGCCTTTTGCTGAAACATTTACTCACCATCTTTTGATTTTAAAAAGGTAAAAGGTCGACTTTACTTGACATTTGTGGTGCTTCTTTCCCTGTGTTTAGATTTGAGCAGACCTCCTTGCCAGTTATTTACCTGCAATAGCTGCCTATGTTGAGGCAAACTAACTGCGTCCTGCGTCGCGGTGCGACTGGACTGACCAGAGATGAGTTCTCCAATGTTGTTGACGATGCAAGCGTCGCATCGTGAATGGTAGCAGGTAAGAATGTCATATGTTTTATGCGGCCTTTTGGCCAGTAAACAATGAATGTAAACATCCCAAAAAAGGATTCCAAGGTACAGTCCATCATTTGCCCTTTTTGGATCATGTTTCTTTGAGGAAGTCTAATGAAGGTTGTCTAAGAACAAACCTGATGACGTTTCAGCTCAGTGAATATTGTACATTCTGAGAAAATCAATATTTTCAGGATTTGTAATTCAGATCAAAAGTTGCTGAGTCATGTTTGCATTGCTCCTGAATTCAGCATCTGGGACATGTTCTTACGTTTCAGTAAAATGCAGCCTTGTCCCACACTGATCCAACAAATGATGTTGGATCAGAAACCATGCATGTATGTGTCGTGTCACAACGCATGCATGCGTGCTTCCAATGGCATGTTTCCCTATATGCATCTTCTAAAGGCATCTTAAGACACATAATTGGTAATGACCTCCTTTCATAGTTTTTTTCCAAGTGACAGCTTGCAAGAAAGACGAATTTCACTGGGAGTTTAGTTCCATAACTAAATTTAAACAAAGTTTGCTTTTCGATGATAATTTTGTCCGTTACTTTTTTGGATAGCTGGAAATGATGGGCTGTACCTTTAATATTTAGAATCCAACAGAAATTAATCAAGTCAGATTGAACAAGTGTTTCCTCCTTGACGCTTTGATACCTTGTTACGGTAGCCCCACTATTGTTAAAGATGTGGTCATTTGAAGACAAACAGACAGAGATTCTGTTGTTGAATTTAGACCTATCTGCCTTGAACAGAAGCACGCCCTCAATGGCAGAAAGGAGCCATGTTGGTGGGAAGTCCTCACTTTGTTGGGAGCAAACTGTACATTTTATAGTTTTCTGGAACCAAAGAGCAGTTCCCACCAAAGGAGCCTGCTTTGCTATTGCGCCCTCTCTTGGGCCTGCTTGGCCCTCATACCCATCAAGGAGGATCAGTTTTTTTTTCACAAATGTCTGTTTCTGCTGCAGATGAACTCATTCTATTGTCATTGATTTCTTCCCCAGATGTCGTCGCGTGAAAGCTGTGCATATGGCCTCGGGGAACCAGACTATGGTCCTGATGAGAAGAGCACCCTCGCCTCCTTCAACAAGCAGAGAAGCAAGATGGAGGACAAGATCCTACAGGACTTCCCGGGGATGATTGCCATCAAGGAGAGAAAGTAACTCAGATGCCAGACCCCGCCTCCGTCACTGGGGAAGAGTTTCCACGTCAGGATCTCAGGCAGTGGTTCACACAGGCAAGGAAGACTGCAGTTCCTTGCTTCCACGCAGCGACGTAAATCTGTGCTGGGGACTAGGGATAAATATGCTGGGTACCAAGGGACACTGGGGGCGCTGTTCGTGATGTACAATGTACACCAGGGGTACCGCAGACATGTAAACGCAGAGACTGTCAATCTCGCATGTATAACCATGATTTTATAAAGTATACGCAAACAATGGGTGAGACGATGGTTGGTAGCGTGTTCAGTGCACATTACCCACAACAAGTACATGTACTCTTATATGGTCTGTATTTGGTTCCATGTGCTCCCAATATACACTCACTTTTTTTCCTCTTCGGCACTGTTATCTCATTATTTTGAATCTACATAGGCCAAAATTAAGTAAATAAAAGTTTTTTTGCCATCGAAAAACGGCTTCATGGAATTTGCCGAGTGGAATTCTTCAACTGTGCGTAAGTTCCCTATTACGAGGGGTGAATTTGCTTTCAGTGTTGATTTTAGTCGGGCACCACACTGATCACTGAAATCTCAATGTAGTTTGGAATGTGAGCTGGGGGTCTGTGCGTTTATATGTCTGGTACAGTATGCACACATGTAAATCGCTGTCTTGAACTATGCAATAACGGGGGGGGGGATTAGTGCATACTACTTAACACTAGGGGGCGCTGTTTATGATACGATTGATTCTGTATTCTTCCACTCTTTAACCTTACATTAAAACTGTGTGTTATCTGCCTATTTAGGGCTACTAGAATGCATTCTGGCTGTCGGGGAGTTTCAAAAATACATGTACCTCAGAATCTGCATTTTTTGTCACCGCCAGAAAATTGTGGGCAGCCCCTACCCCGATCACAAAGTGCGGGCAGGGGGGGCATGTAAATTCAAACCCTGTTAACAGCATTGTGAACGCAACATTCTGCTCTTGTAACCAGGACATTTTGAGGTCCCAATCGCTTCGTTCTTCATTGCTTCCATTCCTGATAATGCAAGGTTCCTATTAATACAAAGTAATCTGCAAAGCCTGCTGGACCTCTTAGTTTGACTGCACCCCCCCCACCCCACAGATTTACGCCCCTGCCATCCTGTCATGAAGCAAGACTGTATGTTTGTACATGTATATTAGTGGGAAAGAGTTCCATACACCGACATCACTTGACACCCTGTGTACAAAGCCTACCAAGCTGGGCCAGGAAATTCCAAGCAGTAAACTCTTCAATATTTTCCCTGTTAAATTTGAATTTTTAAGACCGTATTGCTTCTAGATGGCTGATTTACATGTCCCATTGCACGCAGAAAGTGTATGGAAACTCTTTCCATAATTCTTTCATCCAAATTCATGACTGGAAAGGATATTTTTCCATTTAAAGTAATGATTGGTCAGATTACATTTCAACAACCATTCCAAGTAATTTGATCATGATACATTCACTCGCATATTTGGGCATATTTATTGCTTTTAATTCATTTTGGGGGAGTCAGGTTTACATAGCAGCTCTTTCCTCATCTTCCGCCTTCCGTGGCTCAGGTTCGAATCCCACCAAGGCCCACAACCTCTCAAAACTGAAGATGTATTTTCCTTTTCATTGCTGCTCATAGTCATCCTGCAATTAGTGCTGAATATTCATGAGATGATTAACAATAGCAAACTATTCATGCCAGCCATGTACATGTAAATAATCTCTACGGGATGATTTTCAATTGGCCATTAAAGTACAGTCAGTGTGGTGACTATTACATTTTTCCGGCCATTTTCGGATGTGAGATGGGGATAGTGTTAAGTTTTTAGGGCTGGGAAGAAAAACCCAAATAGATATTCAAGAGGGAAGCCCACGGAATCAAGTAGAGACTGCAAACCCAATGAGCTCAGACAAGATGTGATTCTGGGTCGCTGAGGTGGAAGGCGAGGAAGGTATCACTCTGCCAACCTGACTCCCCAAAATAAAACTCGTAATGTTATCACAATGCTTAACTTCAAAAAGTGTAAGTCGTCGTGTCAGTGCTAAAAGGTCCTTACAGGCAAATTACATCTAATGGTCCTTATTGAAAAATATTATTTTTTAAACAGAAAATTGGGCAAGAAAAATTGGTTGAAATTAAATATATTGGCCCCAGAAAAATAATTGAATAAATGAAAGTGAAACAAATGTTGTCAGGTTTCAATCCATGTACAACATTTCCTTCATGCTCAGAGTAAGACCCAGAAAGTATTTTCAAAATTTTATTTTTGCTGCAATGACCTTTTAGCACTGACGCGAGGAATTTGTACCATAAAACAGTCCCCATTTAGAAAGACTAGTCTTGGGGCGCTACAAAATTTTACAACCATGTTGCCTGCTTGTAAAAAGTGACTAGCGTACTGCACATTTCACATCTCCCCTTTTCCCATTCATTCCAAATACCAGTTCTGTACCCATCAATGTTGTCTAGCTCACCACGTGGCCGTTCCAAACCTCATTGGAAAACCTTTCATTATCACCCCATGGAAATGGTTCTATATGCCTTTGAATTTTCCCCAAGGAAGCCTTTTATTAGCCTTTCCAATTTCAATTATCACAAAAATTCTAAATCAGAAATTTGCTTGGTGTAGAAATTTGAGCTTGCTGTGGAAATATGCCTTTTCTGGGTATATTTATCAAACGTTTACTATGTATCAGAACCATTCAATTGTACTTGTGTTTTCATGAAATAAATGTTTAAACTAACAGACCTGTTTAGTTTAATTCTATTTGTCAAAATGTAGTGCTTTACCACTTAGCCGATTCTGCCAATTTAACAATGCCACAGTTTCCTATCTATAGACTTAACACTACAGCCCCATCCTAAGCCCAGCCGG